TGTTGGTGTGTGTGTGTGTGTGTGTGTGTGTGTGTGTGTGTGTGTGTGTGTGTGTAAGTGTGTGTGTGGGGGGGGGGTAGCTCAATTTCTCAGTGTATAGTTGATTTCTTTCATCAATTTTCGGGAAATCAACTATGAGCACAATTTCATAGTCTCGTTCGCCCAGGCCATTTTGAAATTGAGACTATGGTGAATCCGTGATGTCTGTGAACGCAGCATCATGGCTTCAATGGAGTGGCCGCTGCACCTGTCCGACCTGTTCTGTTGGAGAGGGACACATGACTCCGGAGGAATTTCCCCCGCTCCTCCAGTCCGTTGTGCCAGTGGGTTCTCTGGGGGGGTGAGAGAGCCAGAGAGGCGGCCGAGAAAGAGCGGAGAGAGAGAGGCGGACGGAGAGATGTCGGAGCCGGCCACCAATCCCGCTGTCACCTCCTTCCCAGGACCCACAATTTCGCTGCCTTTGGGGCTGGAAGTGTTGAGGACTTACTCTGGGGGCTCTGATCTGCTTAGAAATCGTCAGTGTTGATCCGGAACTCATGGGATGACTGTCGTGGATGTTCAGCCATAGTAGACTGTACTTGTAGCAGTATACTTGTAGCAACCCCGTGGTCTCTCCTGACGACCTTTTGGAACTGCAAGGTGATCTCCCGGTCCTTGACACCTCTGAGGTTTTGCCTATTTGAATTATTTCTCTTTTATCATCGAAGGAGACGTTCATTTGCCAGGCTTTTATCATAGCATGGAAATTAAGTACATCGCATTGTTTGTTCTAATTGTGAAATGATTTGTTTGCCATTTATGAATTGAGTGTTTTCATATTTATTATGGGTTTTAATGGGAAAAGTGTGCATCCTGCTCGAATTATACAGACATTGCGGCATCAAACGAGGTTGGTTGATATTAATGTTCTATATTCAAAGCAATTTACCTCATGACAATTAGTGTGAAGTGAATTATGACAAGGATGACACCATTATAATACTTTTATCAACTATAAAAAACAATGTTCTAGCGCTTCTTTATCGTCATGCTGGTGTAACTAACTTAAAACTAAAAGAAAGTAAACTCCTGACCATTTGTATGGCAATTTTTGCAATTAACACGTGAAGTAACAATAATTTTTTTATGTGATTAATTGCATTGCCCATATCGTGATGATCAGCCATACCATGTCCTCTGTCAACATGAGTTGCATTTCTGGTTCTGAGGTTACACTCAGAACTGTTTCATAATTTCGACATTAGGAGCTGAATGATGTGATTTTTTTTTTTTTTTTTTTACGCGGATTCCTCAAATTGGTCACAATATCCATCCATCCATTTTCCGCCGCTTATCCGGGATCGGGTCGCGGGGGCAGCAGCTTTAGAAGGGAAGCCCAGACTTCCTTCACCCCAGCCACTTCTTTGAGCTCTTCCCGGCGGATCCCGAGGTGGTTCCAAGCCAGCTGGGTGACATAGTTTCTCATGCGTGTCCTGGGTCGTCCCCGGGGTCTCCTGCCAGTGGGACATGCCCGGAACATCTCACCAGGGAGGCTTCCAGGAAGCATCCTAATCAGATGCCAGAGCCACCTCATCTGGCTCCTCTCGATGTGGAGAAGCAGTGTCTCGACTCTGAGCCCCTCCCGGATGACCGAGCTTCTCACCTGATCTCTAAGGGAGAACCCGGACACCCTGTAGAGAAAACTCATTTTGGCCGCTTGTATCCGGGATCTCGTTCTTTTGGTCACGACCCATAGCTCGTCACCATAGATGAGGGTTGGGACGTAGATCGACTGGTAAATTCAGAGCTTTGCCCTTTGGCTCAGCAGTTCTTTATTGTCATGTGCTGTTAAAACATACTGTCTTGATGATACAGTATACTTTGTACATATACTGTATATTATGTACACACATAGTATTCCACATATTGATGGACATTTTGTACTGTATTTTCATTCGACTGCAGAAACTTCAACAACACTTCTTAGACTTCATCAAGAAGCAAATAAACTTGTGAAGATACTCTGTGTGTGCCACTTCGCTCTCACAGCAACAGCTCTCTCCAGTGTGTCACTTTCTATTTCAAATATCATTCATTTCCAGTGGAATAGTTTCCTGAGGAAATAATCACAGCTGAAGGCCATGGTTTGGCAGTGCTTGCATAGGCACACACTTAATATGAAGTAGACTGAATCTGTGTGGGGTTTTTTTTTGAAAAAAAAGAAGTGTCCCTGGCAGAAGATAATCAAGTTTGACTTAAATAGTTTTTTGTGTGTATATTGACATTGATAATTACAGAATCCATTACATTACTTACAGCCATTTTCTGCATACTCGATTTAAACCAAACCAAACAATTAAAAAAAAGCGAAGTAATGAAAATCCACTAAAATACAAATAGTTATTTGAAAAGCAGGCAGAAGTGATAGGGCAAAGACCACTGTCAGATCTCAGCACACTTTGGAACAGTGCCAAATTGTGCACCTTCAGGACACCAATATGTGAAATTCAACTTTGAAAAAAAATTAAGCCCAATAATTAAATGACTGCAAAAGCATGCCAACAAGTGAATCATTCTTCTTTGGTCCATGTCCGAACGTTTTGTGGAAACCTATTTATAACAGTTTTTTTTTCTTTATTATGCTTACACTCTAAGGAGGGTGCATCTCTCCAAAAAAACAAAACAAAACAAAACAAAACAAAAAAGAAAACATTTGATACATATCTGGATACATGGGGTGTGATACCATTCAAGGAAGTCTTCGTTTTAAAGTGAAACGCTCTGATTCTTTTCAATTCAGTGGGATTTTGACAGATCTCCAAATATTTAAGGGCAAGGATTTGATTTGGTTCGATTCAATGCACGCATGTCTTTTTGAATCAAAACCATTTTTTTTGTTACAACCCTATCACACATGCAATCAAAATTTTGACTCATCTAATAATGAGAGGTAGGGACAATTCAAGGATTATTCTACATTGAAGTGTGGTGATGTTTTTCGGGGTTTTTTTCCAGAAACATATCAAAAGAGACATCATACTGTCTGTATGCTGTGTCCCATCTTTTCTTTGCATGATGTGATATTGTATGCTGTGTCCCATCTTTTCTTTGCATGATGTGTTAAAGTCATGAAAGGATGTCAAAAACGCCTCCACTCTTCTTCTTTCTTCTTCTGTATTGCCAGGAGCATTAGGAGAGGTGGGATCGAAGGGCGACGTTGTGACATTTGCATATTTTATACATATGTACATTTGTTTATTTTACTGTTTTTTTTTGTTGCAATATTTTTTTACGTTTTATTTCAAAAAGGTTAATTGTGTGTTTGTAACCAAAAAATAATCATTTGAATAGTATAGAGTATGATCATTCGGTGGCACGGCACCATAGTTGGGAAGCACTGATGTGTTTAAACTGCCCAGTAAATTGAATCAATATGGTAATGCATGGATTGAACACTATATGAGATCATATAAATACTGATGACTTCGTTGTAGTGAGATTCTGAAATTCTACACATTTGGGTGATATTACCATCTGCTGGTGGTATTCTATTAGTACAACAAAAACATCTGATAAATCCATTTTTGTGGTGAATGAGCAGACGTCACACTGTACTGTATTTCAGGGGTTCCATAACTGTCCAAAATAATAATCAATTGACTGTCAGATGAAATGGAATTGATTTCAATTTATGATTCAAAATATAATGTGAATGGCTGGCAACCAGTTCAGGGGGTACGCGCCTGTTGCCCGGAGACAGCTGGGCGAGGCTCCAGCGCGCCTGCGACCCTTGTGAGAACAAGGGGATTTGAAAATGGATGCATGGATGGATTTAAAATATATATGAATCGGATATATATGTTCTATAAGTATAGAGTTTTTGTATAAGTATATAGTTTGTCACACCTAAATGCCTCAGGTCATCAAACAAACCCAAATATTAGTCAGACAGCACACGACAAATTATCTCTTTACCCTCAATTTGTTTTAGCTCATGCCTTGTGCTCCGGCCTGCACTGAGCATGAATATAAAGCCCTGTGTGTCTGGTATTCTTCTGCAGGGGACAAAGGAAACACAGGCTTGGATGGACCCTTGGGTTTGAAGGGGAAAGCAGGTAGGGCTCTGTATCCTCACAAACGTATGAAGCTATAAACAGGAAGTCATGCAGTTGTGTTGCAATTGCTCTGCCACCAGGGCTGGACAAGTACAAAGAAAATAAAACAAACAACAAGAAAAAAACATGAAGGTTTGCATTCTACCTGAGAAGTCATTGCCATACTATTCGACAGTCAGGGCTCCATGAAATAAAAGCATTCTCAATCCTAAGAGTACACGCATCGTAGAAAATGGATGGATGGATAAATTACATTCATGTCTGACTCTCTTACAAGTGGCACCTGACAACATCTCTGTGTGACTTCCCAAGGTCATGTATCGTATGTTGCTGTGTGTGAATTCAAGACTAAAGTGTCCATAGGTGTGAATGGGCCTCATTCACTAATAGACTGAAATTAATGTTTGCACTCTGCGCACAATTTAAGGGAATGTGCAAAATCACTGTCGGATCCATGACATGTGCATACTGGCCCAGTTTCTTTGCACCACTGTGCACATGTTGATGAATCAGAATTAATGCTAGATGACAGCGCGTGCCCATGGAGCTCATTTTTCCCCACGCACATTTTTCCCCCCAAAAAAATGCCATCACTTTGACAAAGTGTGGAGGTTGTGAGACATGAAAAAAAATGTCAGAAATTGCTCCAAAATGTTTCAATACATTCTCGATCTTTATCCTATTTTCAAATGGTTCATATCATTGGAAAGTTTGATAACCACAGAAGCTGGCAATATATTGTGAAGCCCTGGAGTTAAAGTAGTTAAATGATGATATTTGCTGAGGTGCCTCATTTGCTTTATTCCCCCCAGCGGTAACAGGATGAACATTCATTCTCACAACAAACCAAATAAATAGCAAGCACTCAAACCAAACGTTTATTTACAAAGCACTTTAAACTAACCATTGCTGTATACACAGTGCTGTACATGGAGTAAAAATAAGTCATACAATAATAAAGACAGTGGAAGCAATAAATTAAAACCACAAATGCAAAGCATTAATGTTAAGTTTTGACTGATAAATGGTAAATGCACTTGTATAGAGCTTTTCGACCCAGGTACTCAAAGAGCTTTAACACTGTCTCCCCATTTTACCAACTGATATGACGCAGCATCAGGAGCAACTGCCGGGGTCAGTATCTTGCTCAAGCCGCCTTTGACATGGTCACAGTTGTTGAGGATCAAACCCACAGCAATTTGAGAGACGACCACTCGACCACCTGCAGCCCCACAATGTCACTGACCTTGACATGTTCAAATCTCTATCCAAAACACTTTATTTTGACGGTGAGGTGTTAAAAAGTCGAGTAAGGACTGCAAGGACATGCATATTAACAATGATGCCCATTCAGAGTTTGGTGACTTCCTTTTATTGCAATGAGGAAATATGAAGTTGACTGTCCTATAATCTTAAAGATTTGGACCATCTTTTACTGATGATGAAAGACACAACCCAAAACGCCCAAAGTTTTACAAGTTACTCTCGATTTTAGCACACAGAGAGGATGTCAGATGACAGTTCATACGAGGATTTGTGCTCCATGTGCTCTGTAGACTTATGACAGGTCATAACTTTTTTCCCGGACAGCTCCTTTAAAATCATCGAAAGGCGTGGCTATTCTTTTTTTTTTTCCCTGATTCAGCAGATGCCAGAGCCAAAGCAAGGACTTTTTGTTGCAACACTTGGTGTTGGTGACAACCAAGAGGGTGTCAATACAAATCGGACACATGTCAGTGACATTTAACAGCAAATCGGGGATGATTACAGGAGATGGTTGGGAATTAATGGACTCGAAATCAGAACATGGCGGGGGATTTCGAAAATCAGGTAAAAATCACTTGGATTTATTCATCTTAAAAATGAGCAAAGGCGACCAAATGAATGCTGCTTCTCTGTATTTTGTTGTTTGTGACTCAGCTAGGTGTATTGGAGGTGTTGCACTCTGTCTGGGGCTGCTCTACCTTCTCCTGCTGGTTATTATCATAGCCATGTTGGGCCAATGTGAGTACATGCCTTGACATGACTGCAAGTCCAAACAACATTGTGCTGATGTCATTGCATTGGTAGCTCATCAACAGTTGTTATTAATGACAACATTCTTCTGCGGTTCTTTTAAGAATTCAGAATGTGTTCATTTTGTTGCAGACATCGGACCGAGCCCTCTGAAAAACACTCAACAACCGTCCATTGGTCTCACCACCTGTCCCAATCTGACTTCAGAATGTTTTCAGTTGCAAGGCAAATACAGCACCTTGTTAGAAAGCAATAATCAGTTAGAGACCAAGCTCTGTTCTCTGACTAAAGAGAAGGACACTGTCAAGGGGGAGCGAGACCGCCTTCAAAATGAGCGAGATATCCTTCAGAACCAGCGAGATGTTCTAGAAAATGAGCGGAATGCCCTCCACAGTGAACGTGACGCCCTAAAAATTGAACGAGGAACCTACAAGACTGACCTAGAAACACTCCAAAATGAGCAAGAGATCATTAAAAATGAGCGAGACGCTCTTGAAATTGAGCAACGAGTCCTAAAAAAGGAGGAAGAAAAGCTAAAAAGTGAGCGGGATTTGCTAAAGAATGAGAAAGAGACCGTACAACATGAGCGAGACACGCTTCAAATTGAGCATGGCATTCTCAAAAGTGAGCGTGACACTCTCAGGTATGATAAAAGCACTCTCCAAAAGGAGCAAGTGGCTCTCAAAAATGAGCGAGACACCCTCAAGAATGACAAAGACATCCTCCAAAAGGAGCAAGTGGCTCTCAAAAATGAGCGAGACACCCTCAAGAATGACAAAGACATCCTCCAAAAGGAGCAAGTGGCTCTCAAAAATGAGCGAGACACCCTCAAGAATGACAAAGACATCCTCCAAAAGGAACAAGAAGCTCTTAAACGTAAGCGAGATGCCCTCAAAAATGAGAAAGATACCCTCCAAATTGAGCGAGACGGCCTCAGGACAGAGCGGGACAACCTCACGGTTGAACGAGACCAACTGAGTTTAGTGTCCAGCAACCTGACCAAAGAGCTGGAGGAGCTGCAGATCCGGTTCAGCAAAGTGGCTGCAAGTCGAGACGGCTTAAAGGAGGAGGCTCAAGAATTAAATCAGAACAGATCAGGTGGGTACGGCACACTAAAAAAAAAAAAAAAAAAAAAAGTTGAAACCTGATTATAAACACATCCATCCTTCTTTGGGATTCCTGCTTAGCACAATTAAATGAGCAAGATGAATATTACATTAATAACTAAACTGACACTCTCGCTTCACTGTCCATTGAATTACAAATGAGAGCTGTTTCAAAAGAATCTATCTATCTAGATAGCTATCTAAATAATTACGGTACATTGGATTTTTATCTGTGGCCTGGTGGTCGACTGGTTAGCGTGTCGACCTCACGGTGCAGAGTTACGGGGTTCGATTCCAGCTCCGGCCTTCCTGTGTGGAGTTTGCCAGTTCTCCCCATGCATGCATGGGTATTTTCCGGGTGCTCTGGTTTCCTCCCCTTGTGAGCATAAAGCGGTTCAGAAAATGGATGGATAGGTGGATAGATTTATATGTATGAATATATTAATTGTGTCCAATTTTTGTGTTTCTTTTAGTCAAACTTTGCCCAACAAAGTGGGTTAAATTCAAGGAGAAATGCTACTACATCTCTGAGAAAGATGAAACTAAGTCATGGAGATCGAGTAGAAGAGACTGCCAAGACCGAGGAGGTGACCTGGTCATTGTCACCTCAAAAGCGGAGGAAGATTTTATCTCTGAATATCATGATCGAGTGTGGATCGGTCTCTCTGACTTGGAGCGTGATGGCAAGTGGAAGTGGGTGAATGGGAACGAACTGGACTTTGAAGGATTTTGGCAAAATGGGGAACCGAATGATGATCGCAATGCAGAGGACTGCGTGGAGCATTCTCATTCAGGACGGGGATGGAATGACATGCCCTGTCGTGAGAAACTTTCTTGGATTTGTGAGGATTAACATGTTGTGTGTGTGTGTGTGTGTGTGTGTGTGTGTGTGTGTGTGTGTGTGTGTGTGTGTGTGTGTGTGTGTGTGTGTGTGAGTGTGTGTGTGAATGCATGCATGCGTTTGTGCATGAGTGTAACAGAAAATCATGAAAACAGAAATCATCCATGATCAAAAAATGACCTTCATAATTATGTGTACAAGCAATGTTTTCAGTTAAACATTATTTCAACATTCATTTATTCTCACACTGTCATATGAGTTTCCAACATTAACCACTGTGCTAATAAAGAAAAAGAAAATTGAAATATTGTACAAGCCCTTTTTTGTGACTTACAGTTTTTAGGAAAGTATGGGTTGTTTTGAAGAACTCCATGATAACTGCATCTTAACATTATTTACTTATTTACAGTCATTCAACTATAAAAAGGAAATGAATGCTCTGGCCTTCCTGCTTCCTATGTGGAGTTTGCATGTTCTCCCTGTGCCTGTGTGGGTTTTCTCTGGGTCCTCCGGTTTCCTCCCACATTCCAATAACATGCGTGGCAGGCTGATTGAACACTCCAAATTGTCCCTCGATGTGAGTGTGAGCGCGGATAGTTGTTCGTCTCTGTATGTGCCCTGCGATTGGCTGGCAACCAGTTCAGGGTGTCCTCCGCCTACTGCCCGAAAACAGCTGGAATAGGCTCCAGCATGCCCCGCAATCCTTGTGAGGAAAAAGCAGTTCAGAAAATGAATGGATGGATGGAATCTAAACCATGTGTGTGTCCAACCTAAAGAGTGAGGGCTGTTGAAGACCCACACTGAACTTGTTTGTCTATGTGTGTGTCTGTGAATGAAAATTACGCACATGTGTGCAATCATTACAAAAACACCAAGTAAGCTGCAGCTGGTGTTGACAGTTCCAACCACGTCCGACCTTGCTCTTGTTTTGTCTTATGACCTTATCTCTTTCCAACCACATTCTCGGCAAGGTGCTTGTGTCCCCTATCTGTCACACAGTGCACTCAGCATTCTTTATTATAAGTATATGCATATCTTTATTAAGAGCATAAGCATGTCTTTTTTCAGTGCATAAGCATTTCTTTATTAAGAGCATAAGCATTTTTCATTGCAAGCAGAAGCATTCTTCTTTGCAGGCAAAATCAATTCATCATTATAAATATGCAAATGTATGATAACTAAAACACATAATTACTCCTTCAACGGGTTTCAGCCCATTTGGGACCGGGCTGCACTGAGACAAACTGTGAGCAAATTTACTCCATCAAACTTGATTCAAATATGTTGCAACTCTTCTAACATTGGTTTGCAAGTTGAAATCAACAGAATCTGCCAATAAATGAAAGACGAAGCAGTAAACAAAAAGTAATGTAACTGACTGTGGAGGGTTTTTTTGGTCTTTTTTTCTGTGAACACAAAGAGTAAAAAATCTGCTTCTCACAAATCTCATCCATATCCTTTCCTTTGAAAATAACGGGTTGTTAGTTGATCAAGATCTGCCAAGCAAACATCGGGGCACTTAAAAACAAAGCCATTATCGCACGTGATGGACCGTCGCACCGTCCCTTCATTCACTGGAACTCGCCACCACTCCTCCTAACCCAGGGCTGAAATGCCCTCTTGGAGGTTAAGTCAATATTGGTACGTGTATTCCAAATCCTGGCTAAATATTAACTGTCGCACGGTCTTGACAAGCCAACAACTATGTACTTGTCAAAGCGTCAAGTTTAACGCTTTAGTGAGTTTTAACATCAGTACGGACGTTTTTCTTGTTATTTATCTGTTGTCAGTTTACCGGTAAATTCTACACTCACGGTTATTTGTTTGGCGTTTTTGCTCCTGCATTTAATTAACTAGTAGCCATACCATTGTCCCTTCATTTGCCTTCATTTCTTCTCTCGGTCACTTATAAGTAATCAATGAATGACAGTTCGTCCTTCTTTTCCTTCTTGCAAAAGTAATAAAATAAGTGAGTGTTTTAACTGGATGATGAAGTGAAACCTTGTTGCCCTCAGATGTGATTGGAACGACCATGACTACATCCAATACTGTTTTAATGATATTATGATCTTTTCATTGAACACGTTGATTACACCAAAGAAAGACAACACAAACAAAGGATCATAGAATTCCATTCATAAGAAAGACTCAAAGTCCTTAACAAAAAACCCCAAAACAAACAAACAAACAAAAAAAACAAACAAAACAAAACAATAATCTCAATGTGAATAATGTTCAAAGGTAATTGGAAGAAGTCGTACAGTACAGACTTTTACTCTTAGCCCCTGCAACTCTTGACATACAGCTGTGAATGGTAACAAAAATCTATTCAGTTTCAGATTCTTTTTTTCTCAATTAGCACACTAAAACAAAACGATCAACACAGATATTCCAGGACGCACTCAACAAATATGCCTTTGGTGAAACAGTAAACAAGGGGAAAAGAAAAATAATGCATATTGGCTTTTTTCCATAGTCAGTCAGTATTTGGAGTTGAAGAATTTTCTTTAGTGTGTGTGTGTGTGTGTGTGTGTGTGTGTGTGTGTGTGTGTGTGTGTGTGT